CACAATCAAAGTGACTGACTTTGGACTTTCAAGGTAAAAGACATACAGAGGCACATTAATGCGGCTGTAGTATGTATGATATTTTAATTTAATTATGCTATCTCTGTATTTTTAAAGAGGGAATAGACTCTGAAAATTTGGTTAAGTACAAGATTTTGGTACTTTCTTAGCAATTTATTCTGCTTTTTTTTTTTATTTCAATACCCGTTCAGCTTTGACCCTAATGCAGAAATTAAGATTATTTACTCCATGACATTTAGGTTAGTTCCTCCTCACTTTGTGTTTGAATATTTTGTAGACAAAGAAGAAGAAAATGTCGGCCCAAACATAAAAATTAAGTTGATACAACTACCTCCACCTAAATCAAGTGCAGCAGTAAAATGCAGTAAATGAATACAGAAGTAATATTTAATCCAAATACACAATGTTTAATAATATAACAATTAAAGGTGACATTTTTCCTTCACTTGGTTTTACTTTTGAAATTCTATGCCAATTACTTTTAAATACTTTGGCTTTATTTCTTGAGTGTTTTCATATTGCTGTATTTGTACAACCTCATTTCCTAAAAAATTGAGATGTTGTGCAAATTGTAATAAAAAAAACATGTATTTTAAATTGAGTGCAAGCCTTTCAAACCTTAAAAAAAAGGTGGTACAACAAAAGACTGGAGAAGTTGTTAAACTTTACAACAAAACACCCGGTTGAACATTTCATAATTAATAAGGTTAACTGGCAACAGGTCAGTCACATGATTGGGTCTTTAAAAAAGCATCCCGGAAAGGCTGATTCTTTCTGACGCAAAATTGGAGAGGGGTTAACCACTCTAAAAACTGTAAACCAGATTTAGAAACATGACTGCCTTCTCTGGGCCTAAGGTCATTTTAGATGGATCAAGGCAAAGTGAACTGTCCTGAGACCTGACAAGGTTGAAATGTGAAATTCTGGTTGGAAATAGTGGACACCACGTACTCCAGGCTGAAGAGGAAAGGGACCATCTGACTTCTTAGCAGCGCACAGTTCAAAAGCCAAAAGCGAAACATGCTGTCAAATATACAAATTATTTCCAAGGAGATGTTTATGCAAGACAATGCCAAACCACATTCTGGGTGTATTTCAACACCATGGCTCTGTAGTGAAAGAGTCTAGGTGGTAAACTGGCCTATCTTTCACCCTGACTTGTCACCCCTTGCAACACTGAACTGTTGAACAGTCGAAATCCTTCAAGCAAGAACAGGACAGCATTCTACGCTCAATATGACAGAAATTGGTCTCCTCAGTTCCCAAACGCTTACAGAGTGTTATTAAAAGAAGTGTTGATGTTACAGAGTTGTTACCATGACCCTGTCCCAACTTTTTCTGACACATGTTGCTGGCATCAGATTCAAATTCATGGACATGTACTTTGCCTTGTACTTTACTTTGATCATACAGTCAGTTTCAACATTGGATATGTTATCTTTGAGCTATTTTCAATCAAATATGGGGCCTCAAGTTCACAAAACCATCACATTGTGTGATTATGTTTTTCACAACTTCCCAATTTTAAAGGAAATGGGGTTGTACTTCTGCGTTGTATAACCAAGTATTTAGATTATTATTTTTCCTCTACTGTCTCAGGTATGTCTTAGATGATGAGTACACAAGCTCAGCAGGTTCAAAGTTCCCTGTTCGCTGGTCACCTCCTGAGGTCCTCCTCTACTGCAAATTCAGCAGCAAGTCAGACATATGGGCATATGGTGAGTTAACACCATGTACTCCCATTTCTTAATGTAAAGGTCTTCTCTCATTATTGATTCATATCAGTATTAAAAAAAGTATGTGTTTTTCACACCATTAACCTTTCTTTAAACACATAGGGGTCCTTATGTGGGAGGTGTACACTTTGGGGCGGCTTCCGTATGAACGACTCAACAATAACGAAATAGTGGAACAGGTGTCCAGAGGCCTGCGCCTCTACCGCCCCCAGCTGGCCAATGAGAAGGTCTACAGCGTTATGACAAGCTGTTGGTTTGATGTAAGTGTTTTTTTGTTTTTGTTTTGTTGATTGAAAAAATTGAAAAATAACACACAATTTACAGCCTCTCTTTTCCTTTTTAGAAAGCTGATGAGAGACCCAACTTTGAGGAGCTGGTAGTAACAGTACAGGATTTGCTGTACGAGCTGCAGTAAATTTCTGTAATTTACTGGCACAATACAGACATTTCACCAAGATCAGTTTTAAAATAGGACAGAGGAGTCTAACTCAGTCCCTTTGTCATGTAATCAGGCGGCTTACAAAAATTATGGCGACAAGCCTGACAAAAGCACCAAATGTTTTCCACAGTCTCCATCACCATAGCTTTCAATTTGGGGGGGGGGAGCCACATCATCAAGATGGCGGTTCCAAGATGGCAGCCATGTGAAATCGCTAAGTGTCTTCCAAGCAATATGTCATCCAAGCCACTTAGAAAGTCAATCTTGTTGTCAATATTTACATTTTCTGGGTCAAGGAATGCATTAAAATGTCATGAGATGATTATTTGTGCCAAGATCAAATACATATGTTAATTTTGACAATGTATTACATAATTTTCCTTGGTTCCCATGCAGTTGGACATGAATTAATTGGACATGAATTAATTCACACCATCTTGATAAAGTGCGCCCCCCCCCCCCCCCCGAATTGAAAGCTTTGGTGATGGAGTGTGGAAAATATTTGGTGCTTTTGTCAGGCGTGTCCCCATTCTTCCCAAATCTGGTCCAAAGCCGCCTGACTAATGTTGATATCTTTCACGTGAAAGTCACTAGGTCTAGCTCAATGTTTAGAATAGCTCTTCTAAAACTAGCGTTTTATATGTGAATATTTTATTGAAGGTTACTGGATTAAAATAAATTGTATCTGACTTTTATTGTATTCTGTATATTGTGTATGAATTGCAAAATGTGAAGACTTGTGTATGAGTAAACATGTTGTGTGAGAAAACATCTATATTTCAAAAATAAAAGCCACTAGGCCTATGTCAGGCTTTGAAGTGTACATGATATGAAATTAAAATAACTTGTGTTAATTGTTTTGTTTTTAAATATATTTTGTTTCTGCATTTTAGTTAAGTATCAACTACATCTGCTGCATTAATACTTTTGATTCAGTCGAGTTTAGTTACTACGACGGATGATTAGGGCCATAAATTTCGAGATTAAACTCGTTAATTTACGAGAATAATCTTGTAAATTAACGAGTTCGAGACCAGCCTGCGCAAAATGATGAAAGCAGAACTCTATTTTCCGCTGAAGACAACTTCCTCCAAGTCAGTGTGGTTCTTTCTTTGGAAAAGCCACAGTTTCTTCAATGTGAAGATGATGATGTGCCAAAAGCATGTGTAGCTTCATATCTGCATAAGTGAAGCCCCAACACAACTATTTGTGTCTGTTATCGGTCTGCCTTGTTAAAGTGTCTCATGTGCAGAGACAGTTTGTACGACAGAGGATTAGGGCCATGTTAAAAAATATATTTTTATTTATTTATATTTATTTATTCTCGAAATTAAAAAAATATATAGTTAGTATAGTTCTATTTTGCTTTTATTGAATAACATTATTAATTAAATATGGCTGTTGTGGGAAAAATTACGTATGTATGATGACGGATGACATCAGAAGAACGCACTCTGTGATTGGTTGGTCTACTTCCGCTTCCCGTCGTTCATACCATCATACATGCACGTGAAGGTCAGCATCAGAACCATAAGAAACTTGGATATTGATAAATTATCTACTACAGCGTCTTGTCTTTTAAACAATGGCCGGCCAGGGAGCGACTGCGGACCCTCAACTTCAACAGTTTATCGAAATCGAGTCGCAAAAACAGAGATTTCAGCAGCTGGTTCATCAGATGACTGAGGTTTGCTGGGTAAGAGTTCAGCTTGAAGCTAATGCTAATGTTTCAGCTCTTGGTTTTTTACTTTTGACTACAACTGACTCACATTGACATTAAATTCATAGTTCATGTTTTTTATTTTATTTGCTGTTTTCCAATAATTATGTAAACATGCTATTATCTTACCTCATGTAGAGTCTTATGTGACCCATCTCTCCATATGTCACTCATTCATGACGTCACATAGCGACTCCTTTGCAGACCTGCAGGAGCTGAAGTGATGCATATTGTTAAAAACGTTTTTATCTAAGTAATTATAACGACATATGTCCTCTGTCTGGGCGACAAATTATTATATTATATACAGTGTATGGTTACATTACGTGATCGTCTTCTTACGACGGGACGTGATGAGGTCACATCTGGGGCAAGTGTGCAAACAACTACTGTGCTTAATTGTGTATGCTACGGGTGTTTACCTAAATAAACCAGTCTGTCTCTGTCTCTAGGAGAAATGCATGGATAAACCGGGACCAAAGCTGGACTCAAGGACTGAAATGTGCTTCGTTAATTGTGTGGAGAGGTTTATTGACACCAGCCAGTTTATCCTTAACAGACTGGAACAGACTCAGAGGGGCAAGGGCTCATTCTCTGAAAGCATGTCAGACTAAAAACTGTCCCTGAAAAGACTGACGAGACGCAGAGCACGCAGCAACCACCACCCTGAGAGGATGTCATTCGGCAGCCAACGTCATGTCATGTCGTTGAACTGTCCCATCAGCTGGAGAAAAGGAAAAAACGTGAATTGTTGCTTTTGATACAAGTGCCTGATATTATCATATATAGAGTAATGAAAAAGTCTGTTTGTCCTCTCACTTTGAGCTTAAATGTTATACTGAGCTTGAATGTGTTAAATTAGTGGGTCAAGTGTAGGAGACTGTCAAAAAAATGGATGCACCTGGGACATTAAGCTGGCCAGCTGTTTTGAAAGCTACTTGGACTTCTCGGTCTACTCGACGATAACTTAAGTGAGCAAACGGTCATGTCATGACAGAGGAGGAGGAGTGAGGTTATGGACTGTATATATGCAATAAACCAAATGCCAAATAATTCTGTTCATGCTTTGAGAAATGGTTGTCAATTCATGATGTAGTCGAATGTTTAATCAGCATTATCAAACACAAAAACAGTTAAACATCAGATATGTTACAGCTTGGCATATATTTGGAATAAATGTATACAGGGGGAAAAAAACATTCTTTGGTGCTGTTTGTATATAATACTGAGGTATTACAGAAACTCATCAGAGGAATTTGAACGTGCTCAACAACAGATGTTTGAAATGTATTCAGGGCAAATATGGTATTTTCTTTACACGTTACAATCATTTATATGCTATGGTTAAAAGTGCAAACCTATGAATAAGGTGATTGTTTTCAGTAACAGAAGGCACAACCTGGTGAATTAATTTAGTTTATACTCGCAATGTAAAATATGTAAACGGCAGTGCAAAAGACTTCATTTAATATAAATTATACCTCAACCCTTTGTGAGGAGTTTTAAAACAGACTTAAATACTGACGCTTCTTTATGACCTAAACAAGCAAACCAGACCATTCGGGGGGAAAGACTGACTATTTGTGTGAAGTTATTCTTAAAGCCTGTCACCGCTGCCACTGGGTCTGAAAAAGACAAAGCAATTTACAGCAGGCAGACTGAAAGAGCTTTTGTTTGTATTTCTACAGTGAGTGAGTAATAAATTAGCTGATTTAAAAACAGGAGGGAGAGAACACATTCTCTCACAGGATAGTTTCAGCAAAGAGGTAAGGCGTACTGCTTTTTCCACAAGGACCGCCGAAACTGACATAAAATTAAATTTCCTCAGTTGCTTTCACATTAGAATTCTGCCCTCTTTTTAAAAACTTCATCAGTGGTATGAAATCCAGTGTTAGAAGTTTATTTTTTTCTTCACTTTGGCAACTTTGTTCATCCAGTTCATACTGCATTGACTCAAACATACTTGAACTCAAATTTAGTAAAACAAATCTTGTCATATTTTAAAGCTACGATGTGCGTTTAAACTTCAGAATTGCAATAACTTTTTTTTTTTTTTTTAAATAATTGAAAAGACGGTTGGTCCTCTTTAAGAAGTCCTCTGGTGTGCACCCCAACCACCCTTTGAGCCACCTTCTCTGTGTAGCTTTACCTCATCCTCTGCTTGACTGTCGAGGGTGGGGAGAGCCACGTAAGGCTGGTTCCCCCATGGAAAGCCCTGAGGACCCTTCCTCAGGTAGAGTGGGAGGGAATCCCAGCTAAATGTGATGTCCTTGAAAGCATGGAGTAGGAAGATCCCCAGAATAATGGTGAGAAAACCGCTTATCGTTCCAACTATACCGTCAGTGGTCATACTCAACCACTCCTTGAAGAGGATAGCTGAGCAGGCCATGACGGAGGTGGTGAAGAAGACGTAGTAGATAGGCGTGACTAAGGAGGTGTTATAGATGTCGAGGGCTTTGTTCAGGTAGCTGATTTGAACGCTGACACAGATTACCAGGCAGATGATTAACGACCAGAACAGGGGTTCCTTCAGCACTGCGGTCCCAGCGAAAAGCTCCTTAATGCCAATGCCCAGGCCCTTGACACAAGACACAGAGAGGGAGCCAATCACAGAGCAGATCAGGATGTAGACCAGCACATTCTTCTGTCCAAACCGCGGAGCCACAGCAAAGATAAGAACCAGGCTGCTTCCCACAACGCACACAGCAAACACAATGAAACCTAGTGGGAGCATTCAAAAAGGAGTTAGTAACCTGGAAAGAAACCCATCCAGGCCTTGTTTGGGATTCAGATTCCACAGTTTGGTTAATAACATCATACGGATGAAGAGCTGGTTCTACCTGGGTCTTTGAGCTTCTCAGCCATGGCGGTGAGGGACGCGACCTCTTCCTCCTGTGGGGCATGGATCACCATCACTGTGGAGCCCATAACACACAGCAGACATCCGATCTTCCCATGCACATTCAGCCTCTCGTTCAGAAAGTAAGAGGAGAGCACAGCACTAGAAGGAAAGACAGATGACGTACACAAAGAGAGATAGCAGATATGTTTCACCATACCATTTGTGTAGTAGTGATACGACATCGTTTTCTTTGTGCTGACTTTCCTTTCATCAATCCTTTCAAATGTTTTAGGCCGGTAATAAAATCCTTCATTCTAAACACTTAAAGGGAAAAATACCTTAAATTCAGTGTCTCACAAAACTTGCTGCTGTAAGTCAGCTGTTACTATGGTTATTTACGACAACAAGATGATGTATGAGCTCAACTCCAAATAACAAGTCTTTCTAAAGGAACATATCTTCCAGGTCCATAATGAGGCTCAATTTTATGTTTTGGTATTACAATTGGTCTTAAACAAAGCTCTGCCTTTTGAGTGAAAATTGCAATTGCATACAAGTTTAACATGCAAACAGGAATAGGCAATAACAGATGGTTGTTTATTTGTAATAAAATATTTTATTTTGCTTTACCAGGACATCTCCTTCTGCAAACTGACAGAACTTGTTTGTGCTAAAACGCCAGCTTGACTGATTCAGACAAAGCGCTTTTGCTGTTAAAATGATTTACAACACCTGGAGCGAAGTGTTACTTATTGTTAAAAGTCCACGTGCTGTTGCTCATCGGGACTTTCTCAAACCATTCCCTTCCCACTAACGCTTTTTGACATCACGCCCACAGCTGAATTAACTGCCCATTGTCAAGGTGGAGGGAATAAATACAGCAGCAAGCTTTGGGCTGACCACGCATCACGGAAACAGAAACTTTATATAACGATGATTTTATGTCATTCACCTAAGGTTTCTATATAAATTACCCCAGGCAGACTTAATATGAGAAAAATCTCTCTATCTTTTTGGTCTATTTTTTTGCAAAAATCTGTTTATTAAGATGTTCAGTTTTTGAAAGTCCCAGAAATTATTAAATACTTTATAATCAAATTAACAACGGTGCCCCCTCAAGTGTAGAAAGTGTTAATTAGATCCTGAATATTAAGTAAACTTTTTGGAGTTTTGCCTCTGCATGATACTACTATTCTTTATCTAATCTAAAGCGTTTACGTTACTGCGGGTGATAACTTGGAACTTTCATATACAGAGTGTCTCCCGTAACAACAGTGAAAGGTGTTACACCTGTTCATTAGCTCAGCATTGGTGCAGACTTGTCATTGGACGGTTAAACAGCCCACTCTCACAACACATTCAGAGGTTTTTGCACTCAATGTGGCGGACCCTCCATGGGAGCGTGCAAGCAGAGTGGAAGTGTATAGGGAGAGAGTGATTTGAGAAAGGCACATGTAATTCCTGTAATTTTGTAAAATGTAATTGGACCTCAGTTTTGAACAAATCAAAGTCATAAACATGAAGGTTGAAAGAGCTAAGTATATATGTATCATGTTTAGCTAATGTCTTATTCAAGCATGTGATAAAATAAGTGGAGGTAAAATAAGTTGAGGTAAAAAACGGCAAAATATATCTTGGGAAAAAGACAATTACCTTACAAGTACACTCAGTGCTCCAAGAGGAGTCACCAGTGTTGCCGGTGCAAATGCATATGCAGCAAAGTTTGCAGCCTCTCCAGCTCCCACTAGAATAAAAACATGACAGTGTACATTCATTTATTTTTTAGCAGCTTACTAAACACTGGAAAATGATCCTCTTTCAACCCACGTGTGCAAATGTGCTCTTTGTAGGAATGTGTGCTTCGAAGAGGTTGTGTAGGTGGTGCTCCTACTGCAATCTCACCAGCATAAATACCAAACCCACTAGAGCCTCATTTCCCCCTTGAAAACAAAGAAAACAGTTGTGCTATGGTACCCATTTGTAGAATGAAGTATTTAAATCATTCACTTACTTGAAATAAGTCCTGCCCACCACAGCCATTCCTTCAGGTAAGCATACCCCCCTTGACCTGAGGTAAAAAAAAAAAACAGTTACAGATGTCTCACTTCAAATATTCTTTTACATTTGGTTTGTTATGCAATGTCTTTGGCTTTCTTTAAAACACTTTAATAAACCAATTACACAGAAACTGATTATACAAATTATTTAAAAACGTTAGCTTCAGCTACAATAACATGGTCAAGAGCAATTCTGTTGCATAACAGGACATTTTACTTTGATACTCTGAGAGCATTTTGATGCCATTTTATTACTACATACAAATATGTAAAATAAAGACAAGATATACTTTATTCATCCCAGCAGGGAAATGTAGGTGTTCCAGCAGCCAGCATACATACAAACACACAACACAACACATATATACATACATACATATCCCACCCATACAAAAAAAAACATGAGCCCACAATACAGTTTGATATATGATATATGCAACTCAGGCTAAAGTTTAAAAGTTTAAATGTCTTCTGTCCTTACTTAAAGTGGAGTCGTTATAAAGTGCAATTGCAGAAGGTAAAAAGTCAAGTCAAGTCAACTTTATTTATATAGCACATTTATAACAGCCGAGGCAGACCAAAGTGCTGTACAGTAAATCAGGCAAAATACATTGCATCCAAAACATCATAAAAACACGTAAAAGCAAAAATTAAAAGTGAATTAAAACACAAAACAATCGTAAAAGTTCTAATAGACACTGCTGGGACAGGACAACTCTTACATGTAAATGAACATTTCACCTGTTGAAAATGTTCTTCTAGCAAAGACGTGAGAAGAAATGTAGTTTAATTTGAATAAAGTCGTCTTTACACTACCTGCTCGCATTGAACCCTTGCTGGCCAATCGCAGCAGACCTTTCTTCTTCAGGATGAAACTTCCGCCGATAAAAGCGCTGGAGCTCACAGCCAGGGTGAGACCGATGTAGAAGTCAGTACGGTTCACTTCCATCTAAAAAACAAAAAAAACAAAAAACAAAAACACAAACCTCAGTTCCTAAGTGTGTTTCAAAATATGGCTTAATTCGACCGTAACTTTTAAGGGAGGATCCGGGCAACAGGCAGCTAATGTTTAAACATCACATGATAAGAGGGACTCTGTCTGTCGTAACGAGGTTAAAACTATTTTTTTTTTTTTTTACAGAGAATGAGGAGGAAGAGGTGACTAACAACTTTCTTAGCTGTTTTTTTCTGAGTTCGCTACCGATAATTAAAATATACATTAAAGCTGCCGCTAAACGTCAAAGTGTTTTACCTCCTCCGTGCTCAAGTCAATCCCATTCGTCGTCGCTGACTGACTGACTGCAGGAAGTGGAACAGCTGATTGCCCACTTCCTGGTAGTTTCCTAGGAAACGTGAACGGGGGGGGGGGAGTTAATTTCCTTCAGCTTTACAACTTTACGAATTAAATACAATGAATATAATAGATAAACAAAAATAAATGTTAAAGTCATGACGTCATGTTTAGTGTGTTACATTTAAATAAACGATAACATTTAATTAATCAGTCAATGTATGATCGATGTTCATTAGATATACTTTTTTAATGTTTTTTATTTATTGTTATTTCTATATTTCTTTTTATTTATTTGCAGTGTCTGATATGCCAAGACTGTCTTCACCCTTTACCATACTGTAAATAAATTATATTCACTTCCGGCTAGAAAAGTCAACAAACGCTACTAACTTTGCGGAGGATAGTACTCGCTATCTGATTGGTCAGTGGTCTCCACAACGCACTATGCAGCGTTTATATTGGTCTAGTGAATCCGGAAGTAGGAGCTAACCTTGACGAGTGAGCAAAACACATGAGCTGCTGGTTTTAGGGGGAACAACTTGAAATGAGATTATACCGGATCGTCAAACCGGATTACAGGATTATTAAACGATATTCGATTTACCTTTCTGATCGTGGTTGCGTCTCCCCGTCGTTTGTTTGTTCAAAGAAAATAGACCTTGCTTAATGATTGGGTAGCAATCTCCACATTTCCACTTGCACTTGCCATCATCGCTTGGTGGACTTATGTTGACATCGACTGCTCTCAAATAATGAGGACCCTTTTGTTGTCCTGTGTCAGAAGCTATAAGGCTTTTCACAGACTGCAGCACAGCCCATGTTGTTTTCCACTTCCAGCTGTGACACGGAAGAGGTTCACTGTGTTGAGATGCATGAGCACACATGTCTGCAAAGAAGACACGAGTTACTACATTACAACTCCCATCTTCTATGTCAATGCTTCTCCTCATTTAGGCCACCTGTATTCAGCTGCGATTGCTGACTGCCTACACAGATACAAACTACTGAAGGGGTTCAACTCTAAGTTTGCAACAGGTAATTCTTCCCGTCCATCAATACTAACGCGTTTGTGTAACCTTTATTATGGGGCACACTGCAAATAACATGTCTCCACATTTAGCCCTAAAAAAATAAAAAATCACGTTTTATTCACATTTAGAGAAATATTTGTGAACTTTGTCATATTTACTTTTGTGAATAAAAATGTAAGATAATTTCATTGGCAAATGTAAATGTTAAATATTATATCTAAATGTTAAAAATACATTTACAATCTTAGCTAAATATTTAAAAGTCGTTGCTAAATATTTACATTCTAAATATTTAGCTTTGATCCAATATATTTAGCAAAGATTGTAAATATTTATAATCAAAGCTAAATATATAGAATATAAACAAAATATTTAGAAACGTAGCTAAATATTTAGAGTCAGGACATGTATTTTTAACATTTTTATATATATATATATATAACATTTAACATTTAGATATAATATTTAACATTTAGATTTGCCAATGAAATTATCTTACATTTTTATTCACAGAAGTAAATATCACAAAGTTCACAAATATTTCTCTAAATGTGAATAAAAAGTGATTTTTTTTTTCCCACTAAATGTGGAGAAATGTTGTTGTTATTTGTAGTGTGTGCAGCTTTACAATCAGCGCCCCATACTTTATTCCTGTGGGTTTTATGTGATTTACAGAATATAAACACGTTTCATTAGAGCATGTCAAGTCAGACATTTGTGGGTTTCAGCCTCATGTACATTCAATCTGCAGCTTTTTTTGTGATATACATTTTAAATTACATTTCTGGAGTTTGGGTAAATTAAGGGATTAAACAAATCACCTTGGGCTATGGGACATTTGGATTGGTGTTCTTCAAATTCTGTTTTGATTAAACAATTCATTGTTTTATCAAGGGCATTACAATAATAACTCTTTATTATCACATTTCAGGTACAGATGAGCATGGTTTGAAAATCCAACAAGCCGCTGAAGCTGCAGGAAAAGACCCCCTGCAGTTCTGCACTGATGTCTCTCTGAGATTCAAGCATCTCTTTAGCAGCTGCAACATTTCGTATACAGACTACATAAGAACCACCGAGCTGAGACACAGAGAGGCAGTGGAGCATTTCTGGTCAGTACTCTGGAACAAAGGTCTCATCTACAAAGGGAGCTATGAAGGCTGGTACTCTACCCAAGATGAAAGCTTCCTCACACCATCGCAGGTGGGAGACGCTTTTGACTCATCAGGGAAGGAGATCAAGGTGTCGCTGGAGAGTGGCCATAAGGTAATATGAGAGAATGTAGGATCATAGCAGTGTGGGTTTTAGTGGAGTGGAAGGAGTGTCAATACACATATCATGCATGTAGTATGTCTGCTGTGGGTTTGAAGGAGTGCTTGACAATGAAAAAACAAAAAACCCTGTTGGGCATACAAAGACGTGCCAGCCAGTGAGGGTCTTACACACTTAGTTGCACTATATCAAGTGTAGACATCAGTGATTTTGAATTGCTTTCCTTTTAATTTTCTTTCATTATAAGAGTTTGATGACACTGATTCAACTCTCATGTCTTCTCAAAATGAAGCTAAAGACTGAGGTGTTTTTTTAAGTAAAATCATCACTCTGAGACATTAAAAACACATGCTATCATGTTGGCTGAAACAGTATTAAACACTGCTGTGTAATAACAGAGATTTGTGGTTATATCAGGCGTTTATATTGTAATATGTCTTAGAAATGACGAGTAGTGTCTTCATGACACCTACAGAGAGGCCCATGCTAGTTGTGTTCCCATTACTACTTTTTATGCTGATGCATGCAACTACTTCCAGGCTCTAGTTATATATTAAATGGACAGATATTTATCATGTCAAAATAACAAAGGTGTATTCCAAAATGTCAGTCTACTCAGTATTGCAGACATTTAATCACATCTCTACACCTTGCACAGTTTAACTTTATCAGCACACCTTAAATCTACTTTCCACTCTTTTCTTCCCAGGTGGATTGGATGATGGAGGAGAACTACATGTTCCGTCTGTCTGCGTTTCAGTCCCAGCTTCTGGACTGGCTCAGAGGAAATCCTCGCGCCATACAGCCTGAACGATTCTACCACGCTGTTCTCCAGTGGCTGCAATCGGACCTTCCCGACCTCTCCGTGTCCCGTCAGAGAAACCGCCTCCAGTGGGGCATCCCTGTGCCTGGTGACCTCGAACAAACCATCTATGTGTGGCTGGACGCTCTGGTGAACTACCTCACAGTTGCTGGCTATCCAGAGACGCATGACAAATGGTGGAGCGTTGCCCATCACGTTGTTGGAAAGGACATTTTAAAATTTCATGCCATCTACTGGCCGTCTTTTCTTCTCGGGGCGGGGCTGCCACTGCCAAAGACAATATATGTCCACTCTCACTGGACCGTCAGAGGGAAGAAGATGTCTAAAAGTTTGGGTAATGTGGTGGATCCTATTGAATGCTCTCAGATGTTTACAACTGATGGCATGAGGTACTTTCTTTTGCGTCAAGGTGTCCCAGACGCAGACTGCGATTACACAGATGACAAAGTGAGGAAGCTTCTGAATGCAGAGCTCGCTGACTCTCTTGGTGGTCTTCTTAACCGATGCACAGCTCCAGCTCTTAACCCAGGTCAGGCCTACCCGTCGTTCTGCTCTCAGTCCTTCCCCAGAGATCAAGGAGGGCGGGCAGTAGCTGAAGACTACCACATGTTGGATGCTGTAAAGAATCTCCCATCTGTTGTAGAAGAGCACTATGAGAGCATGCATGTATACAAAGCTCTGGAGGCCATCATTGCCTGTGTGAGGCAGACGAATGGATTCGTTCAGCGCCACAAACCCTGGAATCTGGACCGGGGGAAGAGTAAAGACCAGCAATGGCTAGAAACCGTTATCCACGTCACACTTGAGTGCCTGAGGATTTATGGCACTCTCCTCCAACCAGTTGTACCAGAGATTTCAAACAAACTGCTGTCCAGAATCGGGGTGCAACCTGGCGAAAGGAGCTGGGGAAACACTGACTTCCTGCCAAAATTTCAGGGAAAGGACTGTCCATTTGAAGGAAGAGCGCTAGGATCTGACTTTGGAGTGCTTTTTAGTCGCTTGGAAAGTCCAAATGCAGATAAACAAAAACCAAAGCCAACAAAAAAGGCAGCAAGATCAAAATGAGGACATGTTTTACTGTTTCCTGTACACAGATGAAAAAATAAATAAATAAAAGTCTTCTGGCTGTTTTCACTTAATCTTTGGGAAACTGTGGTGTCTTCACTTAGCTGGATTTCCTGTTAACAGCAAGTAACCTTAGAACTTGTACCTTTATGAATTTGGCAAGTTTAAGTGTGTTGTCTTTACATTTTAAGAATCTTATAGCAGCATTGTTGAAACTATGAAAGCATAAAAAAACAGTGGAGTTGAAATTAAGTATTTTAGCAAGCCAAGACATTGAAGGAGCATACATACACTCCAAAACGGACACATCAGCCAATAAAATCACTTTAACCAATGTGTCTAATTAGGTAGTATAAATAATAAAAGGTGTGTTGGTGCACAGGACCTTTAAATGTAGCCATTAATACCTTTTTTCATTTTGTTTAAAATTACAGAGCAGTAACCTTTTCAGTATAATTCTACATCAAGTCACAAACAATTGTTACTGTTAAGTGAAATATAATTTAAAATCCCTCAAAGCACTTTTCATTACATTCACTAACAATAATGAGCTCCCTCTTTTGAAGATATTTCTTAGCCATTGACATGTTTATGGAAGACACTCTGACGTGGCTTAAATAAATAGGAATAGTAAAGGCTTTAAAACCATTTCCCAGCATCATTTTTGGGTCCCAATGTTGTGCATGGTGGCTCTTTGTGGCACTTAACACAGCTTTGATGAATGATACTTTACCGGTGTTTTTCATATCTGGTCAAGTCGATACCCCTGCATTGAAAAAGGTCTGTAACCGTGGCAACCAATCACATAAATTACCAAGATAAATTTAGAAACACTTAAGTAATATTGT